TCATCGTTTTTCTTCGCTCTGATGTGTGTGTGTGTGTGTGTGTGTGTGTGTGTGTGTGTGTGTGTGTTTCTTCAGGTATGGTGAAACAGATGGAACAGGATCAGAAGAGATTTGGCCACGCCTCTTGGGCAATGGCCACGCCCAGACAAGAGAAACTCAGAGTCCTATTGGCTAAAGAGACGCTGCAGTACATGAGAGCAAAAGAGATGTGCATCAAACGCAAGAGAGATGAGATCCGAGAGAAGGTGTGTGTGTGTGTGTGTGTGTGTGTGTGTGTGTGAGAGAGCGAGAGAGAGTGTATGTGTTTGAAAGAGAGAGAGAGAGAGAGAGAGAGTGTGTGTGTCTTTAACACTGGATAACGAATGCAAACGGCCTGTAAAATCTGACACACTGATATGTTTTTGTATTTTAACACCTGAAAGTTTAATCAGTATTTGCATGTTCATATGCTCTTTCAATGTTTATGTCTCAGAATGTGTCAGTGATCCACAAGAGGGAGCAGTTTCACTCTGCTGTCATTCAGATGCAGTGCTTTAAAGTGCATTATGGGTATTATGATGCTGGTCCATGTATTTCTGGTTTGACATATTATAATATCACACAAACACTCTAATCTGAGTTCAAGGCCTGTTGGAGGACCATGAAGAGGAGTGATGCTGTTCATCTGTGACATGTCAATATTTAATTCTGTGCTGTCAGACGACACACACACACACACACACACACATGCCGTCAGGTGACACGGATGGTAACCGGTGTGTGTGTGCAGATGCGTGGCGTTACGGCGGGCGGCTCTGAGGCCGTGAGTGTCATCCGTGAGCTGGAGCTGCAGTATTACGAGACACAGCTGGAGCTTCACGACTGCAGGTTTGAGATCCTGAGGAACGAAGAGCTGCTGCTGCTGACACAGATCAAGAGCACTCGGCGACAGATCAGAGGTCACACACACTCACTCACTCACACACACACACACACACACACACACACACTCTCTCTCTTTCACACACACACACGCACGCACACACTCTCTCTCTTTCACACACACACACACACGCACACACACTCTCTCTCTCTCTCTCTC